GGTGAACCACGAATTCAGCCAAATGGCATTAGTATGCTTCTGGAATTTTAAATTTATCGGGAATTTGGCAGAGTTTAAACTCTCCACTTGCAGATCCCTTTCACGCTAAATTATAAGAATCAACAAAATTTAATAGCGTTTTTCAAAATCTCTGCATCTGCCTAACCAGTGCGTTTAAAAAACCCAAAAAATCCAAATTCTTTATCAATAGAACTCTTGAAACGGATAGAATCGCAGGGTGGGTGATGTATTTACACGTAGGGCACGGGGGGCATCTCTCACAGGTAGGGTTGTTATATGACTTGAGTCGGCACCGACTTGCATCGGAAAAATTATGAATCGGAAGGGACGGATTGAAATGTTGACGATTCAATTCGTAAACGACTGGAGTCGACTGACGAACTGAATCGTATGCTTTTAAAACCGTGACTTGCGATTTAAAATCGGCGCGATTCAAATCGCAACCCGACGCGAGTCGCCAAACGACTTGAGTCGGAATGGAAATCAGTCGGATGGAACGACTTGAAATCGCGACGACGCAAGTCGCCGACGACTCAAGTCGTTTGCGTTTTCAAGTCGTCGGAAGTGAATTTATGCAAATATATGTTCATGGAAATCATTTTGATCGATCAACTCTATTCTTGTCTGAACAGAGAGACAACGCCGCACCACTCTTTACGCTGCGATTGGACCAGAGATCAGGTCCCACCGACCCTCTTCCATAGAAAGCTGTATCAAAACAGTGAACTAGCGGACAAAGGCCGCTTCGCGCTGCGATTTGATCCCCCTATTTGATTTTGCAGCATAACTTTAGAAAAGCCGTAAATCTTCTTAAACCTTGTAGTAATATACTCAGAATAGTATGGCACTTCAAAATTAACGTTTTTGATACTTTAATATACCTCCAGAAGCTCCCTGAGCTCCCTGAGCACCCTGAGCACCCGGCTCCCTGGGCTCCTCAGCTCGAGCTTTACTAATTCCTTCATTTACGGCAGTTTTGATACAGCTTTCTATGGAAGAGGGTCGGTGGGACCTGATCTCTGGTCCAATCGCAGCGTAAAGAGTGGTGCGGCGTTGTCTCTCTGTTCAGACAAGAATAGAGTTGATCGATCAAAATGATTTCCATGAACATATATTTGCATAAATTCACTTCCGACGACTTGAAAACGCAAACGACTTGAGTCGTCGGCGACTTGCGTCGTCGCGATTTCAAGTCGTTCCATCCGACTGATTTCCATTTCGACTCCAGTCGTTTGGCGACTCGCGTCGTTCACGAATTGAATCGTTAACATTTCAATCCGTCCTTTCCGACTCATAATTTTTCCGATGCGAGTCGTTGCCGACCAAGTCATTTGCATTTTTGCCGACGCAAGTCGGTGGCGACTCAAGTCATATAACAACCCTACTCACAGGGTACTGTATACACGGGGACGCGATATAATCTGGGTACTGGGCTCATTTTTCAGGTTTTCAAAGGGGGAGTCGAATCGAAAAATGACAGAATTTTGTAAAATTTAAAACTAGACGACAATTTTCTAAAAAAGGAATTTTTTCTCCATGTATAGAATTTTTAGAATATTTCAAAGGATCAAAAAAATTAAAAATTTGAAAAACAGAAACCAATCCTGATCACAAGTCAACAAGGAAAAAAAATCGAAAGCTGCAAAAAACGGCTTGGAAATCTGGGGGCAAAATTTCATGGGGTGGACAGATGCGCAAATAAAAGGGGATTTTTTAGATATTTTTGGGATTTGGCAAAAATTCGGGCGGTGGCGTTGGGTGGTGTAGTTTGTAGCGAAGTGGAGCTATGGGAGCCGAGGGAACAGTTGGTCGTAGCTCTGCGGGTCGAAGCCGCCGCGATCGAAGAATTGGAGCATCCGGAGCTGCTCGCGGCCACGGTGAGAGGCCAGCTGGAAAAGAAGGATTTCAGGTGCCTTGGATCTGCTCTGTATTTTGTTACAGGGCTGTACGGGATTACTGGGAAAAAAATTAAAATTCCTTGAATGCTGAATGCCTTACCGACAACGTGCCGCAGAACATCAACAGCTCGCCGATTCGTTGCGGGATTGATGGATGCTGGGTGGCAACGTAATGTTGGTGCAGACCGAGAAGGACCTCATCGCGAAGCCGTTCGACGGTTTGCAGCTCCGTGGGTTCCAGGGCGGTGCCCTCGCGTGCTAAAAAGCAATAAAAATGTAAGGAAAGACGAATCAAAACTGATCTAAACCTTAACAGTACGTTAAAAACTACTTACACAGCAAGCTGATCAGCTTGATGGCGGCGACCTCGGTTGTTGACGGCTTCAACCTATCCAGGGAGGTCACTATCTCCTCGCGGAGCCAGCGGAAGAGCGGTTGCAGCAGGCTAAAGGACGGATTATTCGTCTTTTTTTTTAACTGAATACCTGTGATGCGCTTGGATTGGCGGGGTGACGAGGGCACGGATCGGTTCCGGGATCGATTCGAGGCTGAAATTGGGTGAATGCAAAAGGGGTACACAGATTCGGGTATAGGATTAGGAGACTCGCAAAACTTAGATCACCTACTTGGTGAGATAGCAGGACAAATCGCCGTAGAACCAGACGTTCTGGAAGAACGGGATCCGCTGCGTCAACAAGCCGTGCTCCAGGATGGTATGCTTCAGGGAAAACTGTGATATGAGCCCTCTCTGGAAATTGTGGGACATTTTATCACCTATAATGCATAGTAGAGCACAATTAAAATCATAGAAGTGTTTTAGGACCCTTGAATTTACCTGAGATTCCGCTCCCAGCGTTGCAAGCGGTACGAGACGCTCCACCCATTCCCGGATCAGGATCAGGTCCGCTCGGAGGGCATCCCCGATTGATGCATTAAGGGAAAGACGGGAGAGGAGGACCTCGGCCTAAAATCGAAGAGTTTGAGGAGCTAAAGGATCGTGACAGCAACGAAAATTGTGGCAGATGTATCGTCGTCATATTTTGTACAGTCAGGGCGTAAATTTAGAATTTATGATAAAGTTAAAAAGACTTCGATAATACATTGGCGGCGGCGAGCTAGCAAAGATAATTTTGGGAAGTGGCAGCTAGCAGAGGCTCCTTGTGTGCATCTAGCAGAGAGTCTAAGGAAAGGAAAGCGAGGAGATATTTTAAGGAAGCGGCAGAGCAGAGTTTCGTTGAGGAGCGTCAGCTAGCAGAGGTTCTTTAGGCGACCCCGAGCTAGCAGAGGTTTGTTGGGCATCAGAACGCAGCAGAGAGCGTTTAGGACACCGATATTTTTTAGGAAGCGACAGAGCAGGGCTTTTTTTTTGAAGAGTGGCAGCTTGCAGGGATTTTTTGGCACGTGTAGCGAAATAATTTAGGAACGACATCTAGTGGAGATTCTTTGGTATGCGCCAGCTAGCGATGACTCTCTAGCAACCCAATTACCTTGTATGAAAGGTCCGTAATTTTCTTACCGGCGGAATCGCATAAAAATGCTCAGGATCATCGGCCGGTGTATGACCATGCGCCACCGACAATCGACTTCGCATCACGATATCCCCATCTCGGACCGCATTCAACAGAGAAAGTGCTGCGGCTGCGCGTTGCGTCTAGAATTTGAAGTTATTTACATGAATTTTGCAGATTTTTAGAGGCATTGTAATTTATCGTCACCTCCCAAGCCCATTAAGGCTAACCTGGTTTGCATCCGGACTGTAGCCAGCCGCTGATGGTGCCGAGCTATCAGGCGATGCCCCAGGCGGCCCCTCCTCCGATTCCGAGCCACTCCGACTGCGCGCCTCATCGGGAGAACGTCTCCGCTTTCCGATCGCGTCTCGACAGGGATGTAGTGCTGAAAAGCTTGGTTTTATGGTATTTCAAGCCCGGAAATGCCGGCCCATTCCCGGTCGGTATTTGCTAGCCTGCCCCTCGCCCCGCTTACCCTTTTCGGTCATGCCGATATCCAGGCATCGTTGTAGGCGGCAAGATCGGCAAATTCGCTTCTGGTTGTAGCCTAGAACACAAAATGTCTAAACTGAATATAAAAAACTATAAGCTACAAAAATATAGCTTGGAAAATGTAAAAGTTTAAGCTACAAAATAGCTCTGAGTCTTTAAGATAGGTTAATAAAATTTAAACCTTAACCTCGAAAGCATGGATAGTACCACCCTGTAGCACCAACCCTGTAGCGTAAAAACACAAAACTACACACTACACCCCCCCCCCCCGTCCACTTACCTTTGACCAGCTTGCAGTTCCCGTCATACTTGCACTTGGGCTGATTGCCTTTGATGACGACCTGGAAAGAGGAAGTGATTATGGGAGAGTACAATCCGGAGGTGGGTATAGCATAAATAAAATGAATATAACAGCTACCGTACCCTGCGAAAGAACGTCTTGCACCCGAGACAGCTCTGAACACCGTAGTGCTGGCCCGTGTTCGTCATTCGGCCACAAACGAGGCATGGTACTGTAGCGGACGGGCCTGGAGGTGAACGCACGGGTTAAAGGAGTTCAGGAGTTATATCTTTGCCGTTAATTCTTTGTAAGCAAAAAGGAGCTATGTTGCTATGCTGACGAAGCTTTCCCATGTTGATTTTCGGGAAAGTACTAGTCTTCATCGGTTCTCTTGATCCGATTATGCAATGAAAAGGCCCTCCAGGCGCGTAGCGTGTCGCGGGCACGGCAACATTCATACAGAGTCCGCAACCAAAAGCATCGATATGCATCCCTTGCTCCTCCAGTTAAAGGGATCATGACAGCTAGAAAACGGACTGCGGCTGCGTGCAGCGGGCCCAGAAAATCCATAAAGAATCCACAGCAAACAAAATCAACATCTATCTCTTGCTCATCCCTTTAAAGGAAACCTGCCACGCACCTGGCTCATCAATCAGCACCTCCTCATCCATCGGCTCCTCCTTGAAGGGCAGCCCGCTGCCGGTACGCAACGTAGCCATCATCTTCTAGCGCATCTGGAGGGAGGGAAGTTTAGGTGTCGACTAGAATACATACGTAGCAGGAATAATGTATGGATGGATGGATGGATGTAAGAAAGCAAAAAAGAAAACTTTAAAAGCTAATCGGTTAAAAACATAAGAAATATGGCTGAGGAGTATCAAGATTTGATTTAGGTGTTTTTTAAAAAAACCGAAATATTTGCTAGTAGACTTCAAAATTGTCCTGACAATGCCCTGACAAATCCTGAATTTTGCTAGTGGACGCGCAAACAAAATGATCGATAACAAAACTGAGGGGAGAAGCACCGAAATTGGTATCAAGCCGAAAAACCCCGATGTGCGATAAGCTGACAGCGGTTTTGAGAGGAGGTGAAGCGGCCGGAAATGTGGAAAATCAATCAAATAGAGCAAATTACTTTGAAATTGTTGTTTTTAGTTTAGAAGGACCCAAAAACTGAAGAATAAAGCCTAGTAAAAACTTAAAAAGTACTTTTTGCACTACCAAAAATCCTGTTGCATACAATAATGTCATAACAACTAAAACATTAATTACGCTAGGACGACCACGATGGCGCTAGCAAGATCGTGTGTGTAAATCAACCCCGCATAGTATAATGATATTTTATGTGCTTAAATCTAATTAGTTACGATAGCAAACTCACGCTAAATCCGCTGAAAAGGTCAGAGAGAGTGCACGGAAAATTTCCGGAATTCCACCGCTCACGCGCCGGTGGCAACTTTTACGATATCACCGCCCAGGCGACCGTTTTAATCGATTTTAGCGGATCGGAGATTGTGCAAAAAAGTTGGAGTTATAGAGACACGACCTAGAGATAGAGAAAGGGCAAAAGCCGCCCCGAATTCCGCATCGATACCATGGCCGGAAAACACGTGGGTGTTGATGGGTGTGAGAAGGAGGTGGAGGAAGGGCCCCGGCAAATGAGAGGCCGAGATCACCGGGGGAGAGACCCCCGAAAAAAGGGCACTTCCACTCAAAAACGGCCCCCCACTTTTCCGACTTTTCCTCTTGACGCACCACGCACACCGCGTGGCTCTTTTTTTTCTCAGGGCTCTCCGGCTCCCTCTGGCCGTCCGCCCAGGTTTCACGTTTTGGTCACATGGCCCCC